ACACACACACACACACACACACACACACACACACACACACACACACACACACACACACACATACACACACACAAAAACTCACACACTCTGCAGCCAACATGGCTTGTAAAACGTGACAGATTAATTGTTTTCCTTCCCTGTTTTTAGAAAGCACTTTGGTTTAAGTGAGAGTATACAAACTAATGTGCAGGTAGGAAACAGAAAGTGCTTAAAGTTGTGTGCAAGCTGATGCAGCACTGCTATTATTCTGTACAGTTTTTGAAACTTCCACTTCTTAACTCGGTTTTAGCTTCTATAGCAAATTTCAGCACTTAGCATTCACACATTTTTGCAGGAAATGCAATTTCTTGTTCTGTTTTGCATTTTTCACCTGGAGGTTTACTTTAGGTTGCTTGGTTTAAAACACCCTTAGGATGTAGTTTTATGTTGAAAACCTTGTCTGTGAAAGTGAAATGCAGACAGAAGTAGTAAAAGATGTGATCTTGGTGACTTGYAGCAACATGTCGGAGTCATTCATTGTCTTAACTCTAGTCTTCAAGAATGTCTTTTTGTTGGATTTTCCCTCATTTTAACTCGGATGTGAACACAGACTGAACCCCAATATGCTTCTCACTGTTTTAGCTCTTTCTTAGTTTTTTTGGGTGAAATCTTACAATGCTTTAGTCTACCTGGTGCATTTTGCAGAGTCATWGCTCATCAAAAACTGCTGACAATTTCCTCTAACCTGTCTGTGTCTTCATGCCTTGTCCATCATTCCAGATCCCTTTGATCCAACAGGTAGCCTCACCCCCACCCTCCTACCCAAACTTTTTCTGCCCTCAGCAGTCATTCATCCACTCTTACACACCTTCCTCCTCTATCRCTCAGACACAGATTCACACACTGATTCTCATGTTTTAGCCGATTAACTCAGCTCACARCTAAGGATACATCAACCCTGTTTTTGCCTGACTAGGATAAAACTTTCTTCAATATTTCTTATGGTTATATACATTTTTTTTACTTGACCCCCCCCCAGGAGATCAACTGGATTTGGAAAATAATGGCTTAAGTGGTAAGTGAACACACACATCTCATTTTTAGGGGATATTCAAAACCCATTAGTTTTACTGCTCTTTTAATATGGTATTTTACAGAGTAGTTATGAATTCCCAACTGCCCATGTACCCCTGCCGTAGTCTCTGGACTAAGGCCAGCGGTTTTAAAACTGAGCCATTGCTGCTGCTTTTTTCTCTAAGAGAATCATCTGTCTATTTTAGAGCTCACCATCTGAAAAGGTTCTTAGTTATAAAGTTCAATTATCACAKCAAATGAACATTTAGGTTTAGGAGGACACACATTTTCAGTGCTGACGTCCTGTGTGTTTGTGTGTTTGCTTCTCTGCAGAATYAACAGTTGCAATACGAGACGAATTGTGCAGTGATGTCGATTCTATCATAGACGGAGCATATCAGGTTAGTGAGGGCAATATTARGATCTGAAACTATGCACTGTAATTTGTTCCTGTTTTCCTTTCCTGCACAGGCTTGCTGGGGTTTGTAGAAAGCAAAGTCTTATTGAGACAAGAGTCTGTCTTGTGTTATGTATAAAAGTGTGCTTGTGTTTGCTGCTGTGTGAAACAGCTGTATATCTGATGTGTCACACCAAAGACATCTGCTATTGTAGCTCAGAGCTGTGTGTGTGTGTGTGTGTGTGTGTGTGTGTGTGTGTGTGTGTGTGTGTGTGTGTGTGTGTGTGTGTGTGTGTG